TGGAGCGCTAGATCTGCTGAGATGGGAGCTAAATGCGTTTAGGAGAGGTCGGGAAATGCATTGGGCGTGGGTTTGGGGGTTCAGGGAGCTCGATTTCGATTCGGGGTAGGGGGCGATAGGAACACCGGCAAAGCTGAAACAGCCTTTGAATGCGTTTTCAAGCTTTATCAAATGCATTAGAGGCTCCCTGGGAGCTGAAGCATTTGCAGTAATTTTTTTTCCGGGTTTAAGCACGGTACGAAGCTCCAGATCTGCTGAAACGGAAGCCAAATACGTTTAGGAGGCCTCGGGAAATGTATTCGGCGTAGATTTGGAGTCTTAGGGAGCTCGATTTCGGTTCGGGGTAGGGGGCGATAGGAGCACCGGCAAAGCTGAAGCAGCCGCTAAATGCGCTTTCCAAGCCTTGCAAAATGCATTCAGGGGCTCCGGGAAATGTATTTGGCGTAGGTTTGGTGGTTTCGGGAACTCGATTTCGGTTCTTGGAATGGGGCTATAGGAGCACCGGCAAAATTGAAGCAACTCCTAAATGCGTTTTCCAAGCCTCCAGATCTGCTGAAACGGAAGCCAAACGCGTTTAGGAGGGGTCGGGAAATATATTTGGCGTCGGTTTGGAGGCTCAGGGCGCTCGATTTCGTTTTGAGGGAGGGGCCGACAGGAGCGCCGGCAAAGCTGAAGCAGCCTCTACATGTATTTTCCAAGCCTTGAAAAATCCATTAGAGGCTCCCTGCAGCTGAAACATTTCCAGCAATTTTTTTCTCGGATTTAAGGACGGAATGAAGCTCCAGATCTGTTGAAATAGAAGTCAAATATATTTAGGAGACCTCGGGAAATGTATTGACCGTAGATAATTTTCATTTATAATAGTTTGAAATAGATGGACGCGCGGATTGATTTCCATTCCTAAACCTTTTTTCGGCCTTTGTGAATAGAAAATAGAAAACTATGCATTTCCCGCCATCAAAGCCCAGTTTCAAGCCTTTTAAGCTAGTTTGAAGCCTCCCCCAATTGAAAATATATGGATTTCTTCTAGAAACTTACCAAAATTTCTTAAGACGAGACTCCAAACTGGATTAGTGCTAGAAATCGCTTGAGACTCCCTGGGCCGAGTATCAAAACCCAATTTCAGCCCTATCTATATGGAAAACATATGGATTTCTGCTAGAAATTAAGCCGAACTCCATTAACAGATGCACCATGTCGGAAAAGTGCTATAATGTCGCGACAGGACCTATAGCACAGGAACAGTTTGGGAATCATCTCGATAACGACATTCTCTTCTTCCTGGGAGGCGGCCTAGTGAAGCCTAAAACGAAAGCAGCAATAGAATGGCTTGTGGCATGTTTATATATTCCTTGAATACGTGCGTCCGATGGCAGCAGTGAGCAGTCATATGCCGTGATCATATGTGAAAGCACGGCGCGCGTGACAGGCCGAACCTCTGTCATCGCGGCCTGAAATCAACTCTCGTCATGAATTTTGGTGGCTTTGATTCGAAGCTGCTCATTCCCGAATCTAGTGCCTTACAATTGGAACAAGTCGGGCTGGTTGAACGAGTTACTATTATTGCAACGTCAGCAGCTGCATATTTCATATGACGAATTAATCTTTCGGAACCGCGTCGAACTTGCCCGAACCCGTCGCGGAACCGCCCCGGAACTTGCCGGAACCCGTCGCGGAACCGCCCCGGAACCGCCCCGGAATCCGTCGCGGAACCGCCCCAGAACCTGCCGGAACCCGTCGCGGAAACGCCCCGGAACCTGCCGGAATTCGTCGTGGAACCGCCCCGGAATCTGCCGGAACCCGTCACGGAACCGCCCCAGAACCTGCCGCAAACCGTCGCGGAACCGCCCCGGAATACCGGAACCCGTCGCGGAACCGCCCCGGAACCTGCCGGAAATACCCCGGAACCTCGCGGAACCGCCCCGGCATCTACCGGAACCGCCCCGGAATCTGCCGGAATCCGTTACGGAACCGCCCCGGAACCTGCCGCAAACCGTCGCGGAACCGCCCCGGAATGCCGGAACCCGTCGCGGCACCGCCCCGGAATGGAGCCTTTATCCCAATCTGCCCAATTCTTATTTCGATTGAAGACCCCATAACTTACGATATTGGGGAAATATCGATTTCTTGATATCTTGAAAAATCCGTCTCCATTGAGCTCCCTATATTTGGCCCTCTTCGAATCTAGCTAAGAGATATCTCCCGGAAAATCCTGATCTTCCGGAATCGGTAGCAGTAGTAATTCTCCGAAATGCTGCCAAGGATCCTGGAAAAATTTCTTGGCGCTGAAAGAAGAATCTTCCCAATTGTCGTCAATCCCGATAATTATGCTGACTTTGCCTTCAACCATCGATATAGATATTTTTATCTATCTCACGACCTCCTCTTTTCGATTTATCTGATCGCTCCATCTTTCGTTCGCCTGCTCCTATTAATCCGACTCTCTTGCTCAACAAGTCACTTCTACTTCAAGACTTCGACTTTGATAACCTGTCGCTTAGCGACATAAACTATAAGCACTGATTTATAATATTTCTATCAGCAATCTCATATATCCCCAATATTTCTTCGATATCAGCATAAGAGGGCGCCTCAGATCTGCCCTGATGGACAATCTCGATAAGGGCGCGACACCGATGAAGAGCCTCAATAGATGCGAGGGACGAATTATTGAGCTGATCATATTATATCATTTGCTTCAATATATAATAGATAGAAAGATATTCATGACTTCTGCGATCCATAGAATATATTCTGCTCTTATAAATCCAACTTTCGTGATATTTCATATAATCTATATCTAAATATCTCAACTAGCTCACGTCCCGATATATGATCCTCGATCTCTATAAGGAGAACTTTTCGAAATCCATATCCTTATTCTGCGAAAAGATTCTTATATGATCCTCCGCCACTCATCGATCATATCGAAAATGATAGGTAAGATTCAGATATCTCATTCGATAAAGATAGTTATTGATCGCCTCAATTTGATTATTTTAGACACAATATCTATACGATCCTTCGAAATATGGCGCACGAGGATGACTCGCCCTTCATATTAGAAGACGATTAAATTATCCGGGGGTGCGCCCCTCAGTGGCCCGGAATCCTTCAGTCAGTTCGCCCTCCAATTGATTTCTAGTATCGAAAATATCCAAGCAGAGCTTGTCGTCCATATACGAATTCCTCCGGGACCCTGCAGCGAGGAGAAGATACCCCTGATCATCAAACCCCCGCCTTTCCATTTCATCCCCATAGGATCCTGCGAACAATCCCCACAGCACGCTCACGCTCCTCAGCCTGCCGCAAAAACTTTCTGGTCTCATCCTCCATAAAGTCGTGTTCGGTTTAAGATCTCAGAATAAGTCTCGCCCACATTGAAGACTATATTATTAATATCTCGAATTGATTACGAAATAATAGAATATTATCTTCTAATATAGAATTATTAGTAGAATTATCGCGAGAGCCGCACGACTACTTTCCAAATCGAATCAATAATTATTCACGACCTCATACGCTCTCGTTTTCGCCCATTCTCAATGAAACCTATTCAAATCTAATAGAATCAGTTCTATTTTGAATCCGAGCAAAAGAAATCGGAATTCGTGCGAATTAGGGCTCGCAAGATTTAGAGCGAGAGAGAGAGAGAGAGGGTCATGAGCAAGGCTCAGAAGGTTTAATTAATGGCGCGCTCTGAAAGAGTCGAAGGAACCCATTATGATGAAATATAAGGAAAATCATACAAAATTATAACGGGAGCGTTGGAACGCAAGGAAATTCGCCCGAAATCATAATAAGAGCGTCGAAACGACGCGCCCGACCATATGTGTCGTTGCGACCCACAACTTACGCGGACCCCCAGAAGAAGTCGGAATTGTCGGAATTCGTGAGAAATCATAGAAGAACCAGAATCCGTGCGAAACCACGAAGAGCCCTCCCATCGCGTGCGCCGTTATGGGTCGCAACCTAAACTAGCCTCCAGAAGAAATATTTTTTCGTGGGCATTCTTTCTTATATTTAATTAATACTTATAAATATAATATATTATATTAAAATAATTCTAGGAAGAACCATAGAATCGCGCGAAATCATATTAAGCACATTCCACCGCGTGCGTAATTATTAATCTGAGCAAATCATAAGAAAAGAAACAAAAGAAATCGAAATTCGTGCGGGACACATATAAAATCACAACGAGAACGTGGGAAAGCGTGCTTCACCGCTCGATAATAATATTATGGCCTATAATTAATTCCTTCATCTCGAATATAAGAATCTGAAGTCCAAATATATCATTTAAAGAAATATTAAGAATAAAGAGATTGAATAAAATTCAAGATCTTATATTTATAGAAATAATCTAATTATATATTATATCTATTTATATAAATCGATTCCCCAATTTATAATTAAATTCCAAATCTATTCCAAATTTCTCCGATATCAATTAATTTTATAAATTTAAAGATATTAACGACCCAAAACAATTAAGTCGAGCCAACCAAATTCCTAGTTAATTCCTTGAAACAGTTCGTGCCATACCAATCTCATTCCTATCTTCGAATTTATTTAATATTCAAATTATAGAAATCACTTATACTATAATAGAGAAGCATCCAATATCTCTATCTCTAAACCGTAAATTAAGATCAAGCATATATCTACACCTATAACTTTTGTATTAGCATCTTCCTATATACTTTTGGAAGAGAATTCTATGCATATAATATTTCGCGGGGGGGAGGGGGAGCCGACACGGTCTTTTTAAAGAAATCATAGAGAAAGTACAAGCTAAAGCTATTTGTTTCTGAAATAATAAAGAAGTCAGAATGTTTCTATCTTAAATATTATGTTTTTGGTCTTAATATAAAGATATTTTCATCCGAATGAATATTATTGTTGTACCAGGATCATTCTCTGCACGAAATTTGAGGTTGCTAGCTGCCATCATTCGAGAGAGCTTCCATTGTTTCAGAGACCTCCAGTTATCGTGACTACGGAATTCTAGATAGATCGGACGTGAATGTGCGGACCTTTATGTGCGAGAAACCAAACAACGGTTCATACAATACTCGACTGCAAACACCAAACATCATGTCTGGTTCTGAACCGAAAAGCACGTCTCTCTGCAAGGATAGGGTCGCAATTGGCTCGTCTGACCAGGACCACGCCCCGCACCCGATCTTACACTTTGATTTCCGCTGCGTGGTGGAATTGTTCGAACGCAGGCCATCACCTGTCGGTAAACCAGATTGACAAGTGAAACAAGATAACAAACTGTTGGACAAAAATCATGGCAAAGCTGGCATCGCCCACTCGCGATCCAAATTTCGTCGGGAACACCCGCAAACTCCGCAAACCAAAAGATGAGCCTGGCCGGGATTCCCGCATGACAGGTGGCAGGCCCCAGCCGGCAGCCAGCCATGCCTTGACCAGGACTTCCGAAAGCAGACTGTAAGTCACAAGATACTGCCAACTTGGTGCGAGTCTACTTGGTCACCAGATTCCAATGATTAGCTTCGATCGCGCGGCGTGAAGTCCATAATGGTCGCTGTCGTTCAATGTTTCAATCGGCTTGACTTTTGAGCATCTTCGGCTCTACGCCTCAACGCACGCTTGCTGCTTGATGTTGCCAGTGCCTCCTGGGGCAAATCGTCGGTCCGCCATCTGGGTGCAGCTTGCTGTTGCCTGTCCAACTCAACGCTTCGACGTCGCTTCAACGTAGTGGCCCGGCTCTTCGAACTCTCCGAGACTCCGGCAGGCTCCCTCCAAGCTGCTCCGTCTGCTCGAGTTCGTATGCAGCAAAGGCCACAAAGCTTAACGCCTCAGCATATCGAGGCAAACTCAAAAGCCGATAGCCCGATCTCGTAGTACAGGCTTCTCGCCTCCAGAGTTGGCTTGTGTCATGCATCAGAATGAGCTGACACAGCCACGACGCCGAGCGACTGTGACAATCAGAGCGGCCAGCGAGATCCTGAGATCGACACTGCGGACAGCGGTGATGGCTCTGCTGACGGCTCTACCCGATGCTGTTAAAACACCTCCCGGTCGTTCCTGCTGCCACATGCAGCTCGGAGAATTGCCCCTGAAGCTACAAAACCGCATCTCTGCTTTAGCTAACCTTTATCTCAAGTTCCGAAACCTTTCGTCCCAAGGCTCTGTAGCAGCCGACGCCTTTTGCGGAGGCAGTTGGTCAAGTCCCGGCGACTGCAGATCCGACCTTGAAGATTCCATGCAAGCTCGGGTGGAAAGGCTTTGGTTGAGTATCAGTGACACAAACTCCAAAGAGACTGAGAGGTGCTTGCAATCAAACAGGCAGCTACGCCTCTCCGAACCGAGGGAAGTTTCTGAATCCCGAAAGCCGTTGAAGCAATCTCTGCAGCCGCGAAAACACACACTTCTTTCTTTCCAAGGCTGTGGCTTGCCTTCAGGATGTCTGCCTGGAGGCGGCCACAGAGACCTCGCCTTCTCTACAGATGATGCAGACCCTGCACCGTGCCTGCGTAGAGCGTACATCGAGGCGCAACTCCTCCAATCGGTGTTCACAGTTCGATGTACCGCAAATGTGCGGCATGTGTCAGTACCAGCAAGCAACATGCAGCACTGTTCAGAATATCCGAAGCCTGCTACCAGGGTCCAATCATTGGGGCCTTGCTTTGTTTGTCCCTGCCTTGTCACTCTCGCTGTCGCTACTGCTGTAGCCAAAGCCATCCTTTAGCAGGCGCTGGTTTTGCTGGGTTTCGACATCGCGGCTAGAATATTCCAAGCATCGAATGAAGCTGCGCCCCGGTTTAAAACCGCTCAACAAGTCCGAGTCAACGTCTCCGGCCGATAGGCCCTGTCACGGCTTAACAAAAAGGCCTCGCTGGATGACGACTCGCTGACCTGCGTCCAAATATGTCCAAATGGCCATGAAATGACTCGGGATCTGGCTAGCACTCTGCGACAGTTATTCGCAACACATGTGACACATGCCGAAAGCAGATGAAACCGAACCACCAATGCAAGGCAATCGACAACAAAAAACTGGAGTCCTCCGGAAACGCATGACAGCGTGGCCTGTCTCCTCCGGTTTGAAACCGTCTGTGTGGGCAATCGGCTGGAAGCGGACCCTCCAGACCGGTGCAGCACTTCAAACATAATATCTCTGCAGACTCGAATTGCATTCATTTTCTTGTACCGCGACATCGGTGGAAAAAGAGGTTGGCATCTGTCATTCCTAATCATCCGGATTTCTAAATGCGGAACATTGCGAGTGTGCTGTGGCTTCGGAAAATGTTTACACATGCAAGCTGAGGCCTCTCGCGGTTGGTTGTCCTGTGGCCTGGAGTTTCTCCAGCACCCGCGCCTGATTGAATGGATATTACGAACTCTTGATGCTACTCACGTGATGTGCAGGTCAATGTGAGTGGAGTGGCACGGGGCGCTTCCAATGGCAAGTTCCAAGCGCTTTGCCTAGAGACTTCCAGCACAAAGCATCTAAGAACTTGCGAATGTTGAGGACACATTGGGCCTGCAACGTCGAAGCTTCCATCACCGCGAAGGTCGCAGCTGTGCTAAGTCGGGACGTTGATGCATTGCAGCACGGAGTAGGCAGACTGGATTGCGTACATCTACCCTGCAGTCTGCACGCCTCAGCTCAGCCACTATGGTACCACTATGTACAATTCAGTCCAGGTAAGGGGCACGTCGATATTGCATGAACGCGCCGGCCATGCTCTTGAACCGGAAGCAAAGCTCGGCAGGAACAGCAGGCAAAGATCAACTTACAACCGGGAAGACCTTCTGCACTAAACGCACAACCCACTGTTGAGAATTTGGACACTCCCGGATCGTGGACATGTCGGTATCCAACCTGGCCACCTCAGAGAATCCAGGCTAGGCCCTGTGAAAGGACTGCCTCATTGACAAGTTCAGCACAGCTGTCTCTTATCCACGTCCTTGTGTCCTCAAAAACAGCTCGCCGGGTTTGCTGTGCTGAGCGTTGTGCTTGCGACATTCATGTTGTGACATTGTGAGAGCATCTTGACATGATCCTCACTGTCTCAGGAGCCGAACAGTCAAACAGCGCTGGGCAAGGATTTCGGTCACGGCGCTTATGTTTGCACTTCTCGCTGCAGAGGGAGGTGGCAAGTCGATGAGTCTGCGTCGCTCAGAGACAAGGCTAACTAAGGCCATATTGGGGTGACCATGGAAGCTGATGAAAGCTCTCTAGAATTTGACACGCACGGGCAACTCAGCGTCAAAGACAACCAAAAACACGCAAACCGAGCTTTCCGTCCCTGGGCCTTCCTTGCAGATTCCAACTGCGACAGTACCGGATCGATCGCCCACAGGGTCGGCGCACTGACTAGGGCCGAAAGCTTTCAATTTTCGCTTGGATCCAAGGTAAGTGTTGCTAATGGGCTGACGATGCATGCATGGACGATTTGATTGAGTCAGCACGCCAGTGAATGAAAGGATGAACAATAGTGCACGATTTGAATGGGTTGCAATTTCGAAGCCAAGCACGCATGCCCGGAAAGCATGCGTGGCAGCACCTGCGTAGGTTCGGTTTGCATGTGCAACGGCATCTGTATGCAAGTAACTATGTATATGAAGGTGTGCACGCAAGGGCATGCTTGTGTAGCTAGGTAGGCAGGCACGCGCTCAGTTCGGTAGATTCGGTAGGTCGTGTGGAACCAGAGACATTTCAACACCCTCTCAGCGATGCTGCCTATGCACATGAGTCACATGAGTGTGCATTGATTTCGCAACCCTTTTTTCCTCATCCGCCAGCTGTGACAATGTCGGCGATCTCCTGTGCCAAGCTGCACCGTTTGCCCTTGCTGCAGAGCTTCCGAAGTTGCGGTTTCTGGTGGAAAAAACATGGCGGCATTGGAGATCTACATGAAAAGCACAGTGAGCAAATAGCCCGAGGTCCTGCAGCAAGGCATTGGCATGTGGACGAGCGCCGTCCTCCAAGTGCAATCCAGAAGTGGCGAGGCGAGCCTTGCAACAGTGAGCTTCAGAGGCGAGTTTCTTGCCTTTCCTTGTGAGTTTTGTCGTGGCTACGGCTGGTCTGCATTCCGCAAGGCCCTCCAACACACATCATCGAACATGCATCTTTTTGCACTGCGTCGCCTCTGGGAGCTCAGGATATCTTGCACGTAGGGCTGCGATGGAAACCCTGAGAACCTGCGGCAGGATGCCCTGAAAAGTGGGCTGCAGCCCGACTTGTAGACCGAGACCGAGTCCAATGCGCTATGTGTCGCGACTGAAGCCATGTCGTAGCATGCAACATTGAACAGAACCTAGCTAATCTTATCGAAATCTCGGATGATTGAATGATAGATTTCATCTAAGTCTGACTCACTTGCTTTCTTGCATCCTGTTTATCCTGAGTTCAAGTCTATGACGGTGGTATCTTAAGCGCAGCATGAACTCGACATGTAGAAGCAGGGCCAAATCCACATGAGCCTCGACGTTACTCTTCACTGACACGATCACGAGTGAAGCCCCCGGGGCCATCCGCCTTGGGTTCGAGATCTTGACATGAAAGGCGTGGCGTGTCACAGCCAGATCCACACAAGTCTCTCACTCTGTCTTCGACTCTGTCGACTCGGCTCTGTGCCGCAGAGATCCAGCCAGGCGGCCCAAAGCATCCAAAGCGTCCTCTTCGCGCAGCTGCACAAGCTTATACAAGCTTCCTAGGGAAATGCGATCGACTACCCGCCGTTCCATTCCCACTCCTCCACGCGGGCATCCACAAAGAAGACGACCAAACTAAGCGACGGTCGCCTAGCTTCTGGCGCCCTCTTCGAAGTATCCAAAGGGAGTCTGGGTGAATCTATGACTCTCCGAACGACGCTGAGGTGCAGGTAGTGCTGCCAATATTCCCGCAGCCGCATGTTGCCACCGATCTGTCACAATTCGGGATTGGAAAGGCAAAGACTAGTGCCGTCTCGCCGCAGATTGAGGTCACGAGAGGTTGGTAGGGATGAATTGGCAGACTTGTCATTGCAAATTGACACGGATCAACTGCAGACTTCTCCATGGTGCTCAAATCCGTATGCAGCTCACGAGTCAGGACATTGCGATTCCATCCATCGAGTTGGCCTGCTTGAGTGTGGTGGGTGCTATCTGCTAGCTCTCGTGCAATGCTTTCAGGTGCGAGGGGCGGCCTCAGTAAGGTCCAGATTGACGAACCCCTGCTTGCACGGGACCTGCAGGAGACCGGCAGCCAAGGAAATAGCGCTTCGTTTGCAAAGCCGACGCCGCGAGTTTGCGATTCCACGATGCTCCAAGAGTTGATAGTGCCCAGCTTGCTTTTTTTTGGTCGTGTGAGTCTGGAGTCAGTCTGGAGGAGGAAGGCTCACGGTGGAAAGCGCAGACTTCTGTGACTTTCGACAATTGCCTGCAGCCACCTGATTCATCGAATTGCAAGTCTGTACATTCGAAGGGAATCCGCGATGGCTACTGGCTACTGAGTTGCTCAAAACCAAGAGATCACGAGACCCTCAAGGAAGGGTAAGATTCCGTAGGATGAGCTGAGCAGACGGCCTCAGCTCTGGTCAGTTTCTGCACTCCCATGGTCGGCACCAGCCTCTCAGCCTGTCACGAGCGCTCTCAACTTCGCTTCGTGTGCACTCCGAGAAGGCCGAGAGTCAGGCCGGAAGCCGCTGGCTGTTCCGGTTTTCGCAGAGCCAGAGGAAAGCCTCGGCTCAAGCGCTAAGATGGGCAACAAGTGCAGGCAGGGTCGATTGCTGGCAAAGAAATGCTGAGAGGATTGAACTTATCCAGAACTCGGCACAAAAGTCAACAAGACGGAATGCGGCTCCCTGATCTCAATTTCCTCGGATTCGACAGCATTGCATGAACTTAGGCCTTGTGGCTGACTTCCCAACGCCATCGAGCCCCAAGAGCAACACCTCATGTTCCAGCTCGATTGAACTGGGCGCTCCGTGCGGCATGGTTTCGGATCCCGACTGTAAGAAAAAAAGATGAACTCCCTAAGCATTGCCAAGGCATGGCCTGCCGGGTGCCCATCAGTGCCCGGCGCGGCTCCCGGGTCATCCAGGCCCTGCGGCCAACGAGGTTTGGGTATGACGAGTGACTAATGACGTTTTGAAAAGCAGTCGCTTCGTGACGTCGTGTCGGTCCACCAGGTAGGCTGAAGCGGATTTTCAGAAGTGCATGGCCTGCAAGGCCACACACAGCAGACCATAAAGCCTGCGAGGCCATAGATGCCAGGCAACCTGGCAAGGCATCGTTTGCAGTTGCTTTCGACTGTTGTCTGTTCAGCTAAAAACCCAATTTCCCGATTATACAGTGCTCCGGAAACATAAGAGATGCTTTGTACTCATAGAACCACGAATGCCCTCGTGTTTGACCGAGGCAGCGGTCTGCATCAGCACGTGGACCACAGCACGGGTGTAAAGCTGGGGGGCCCCAGAGTCCGGGGAGCTCCCAGCAACGGAAAGGACCTTGACTCAGCCGCGGGTGGAAGGTCACGAGTGAAACTCCCCCCGTGCGACCCCCAATCTAAAAGTGCACCCCAATTTGAAAACCGATGGAGCGGTTGCCTTCTTCGCGAAGCGCTATGCTTTGTTCCGCGCTGTGTGCATGAAATGGCTGCATTACTGCACAAAGAAAGGGAGGCGTGGGAGGGAGGAAACAACGATTTGTTGCTCAGCACTGCGCGGGCTTCATCCAGGCAGATGCGGCAGGTTTTCCGGTGTGCCTTCCCATGAGCATTGTCGCTTCAAAGTTTTGGGAGGTTTGCCAATGAAAGGCGGCACCCCCTCGCCTAACGCCACAAGGGAAACACAGCCCCTCTTCCAGGCCCAAGAAGACGACAAGCTTCTGGAATCGTGCCCGAAAATCTTGCATAGACGAGTCGACTATTTGGGGCATCCGGGACTCACGATGCCAGGAATGGAGGCAGATGCTGGCACAAGAAGGGGGTCAAAGAATGAAGCACTTTGAACCCCGCCTCGACTCGTTTTCGTGTGTGGCAGTGCCACCACAACATGTCCGCTGTTGAAGCAGGCACCTCCCTGGACCGCAGCCCGTAAATGTCAGGCGCACTCCAAAAGAAGAGGAATTGCAGGAGGGGGGCAATGGCGAGTCGCCACTGACCCGTGGGAAAAGCCAAGCCCAACATGGCTCGCACAAGGGACCAAGCAAAGGGGTGGCACCACCAGGTTTTTCGACTTTGATCCAGTTGGAGTAAAGCTGGGTTGTATACTCTCGACCGCAGTCGGGGGAGAAACCTTTTTCGTGCCGAAACAGCGGCACCAGCATGCCCTGACGAGTTTTCTTCTTGGAAGGATTCATTCGTGAACTCGCCAAAAGCAAGATCAAGCTCTTTGACAGAGGTGGGCATGCGAAGGCCTTCCCTGTCAAGAAAAGTGAAAAAGCAAAGTGAGGCTCGTTGGTAGTTTCCTGGGATTGGTGCAAGTTCAGCCCCTGGAAGCACAAGTGCAGCTTAGGGGCTATGGTGAGGAGCGAATCCGTGGAAGCCGTATCGGCAAAGTTCCATGCCGATATGGTCCAGAGGGCCAGCGTTTGCAGCTGGGCACAAAGCTGAACTGAGCCTCTTGCTGGGCCCCTTCCTTTCGCCAGGATATGGTACACCACTTGAGTCCAGGACATGGAAAAACTTGGTTCCTTGGGTCCCCTGCTGCCGCGCACGGCGCCTTGCGAGCATCTCAAGGGTGGAGATGCTGCCCTCATTCTGCCACGAGAAGGACGAGGTGTTACGTCACCTCCAGGGTGTGCGGGTACGGCAGCAGCCTCAGGTTTGCGGGCCATCAGTCGCAGCTTTGTGCCGCGATAGTGGCCTCGGCAAAGCATCTTGCGGAGATGTTTCAAGGCCGCAGCGGGTGGGCGAAGGCTCGCGGTGGCACCTCTGAGCTGGGCCAGAAGCTGCCACTCCAACGTGGGATCTGTGAGCTTGCCCGGAATGAGCGGGCACACCTCCTCAATCTCAATGTCCCTCTTGATTGCGAAGGCAAAAGCATCGCAGAGGTTGGTGGGGAACGAAAGCTCCTCGCAGCAGGTGGCTCACCTCCGCCAAAGAGCTGCACCGGCGGGGACAGCAGACAGGACTGATCCACCCGTAGCTGGAGGTTGAGGGCGCAAAGCGAATGTACGAGGAGAGGCCCAGTCGATGACGTGTTGCTAGGTGGGCTTTTCGTCCAGCAGACGGGCCACTGCGCTCCCCGGCGTGGGTGTTGGGCACGTGCTCGAGTCAGCTTCCCAGCTCCTTCAAGGGGATGCTCCTCACACCTCGGGATGCCCTTCCGAGAGGCCAAGTACCTCTTCGCAGAGCCTTCGCCGTCGTCCAGCCACCACTGGAGGTAGCCTTGCGAGACCGCCATTATGGTGGCCTTGAACCACACCCTGTAACTTGTTTGGTCTTCGCGCTCCTCGACCCGCACTAGGGCCATACCCTGTGTGTGCCACTCATTGTCGAGGAGCCTAAGTTCCAGGTAGTCTCCTCACATGGCTTCTAGGCTCTCCATGCGCCCTGGTCCTCCCGGGAAACGAACCAGGGCCCTGGCATGGCGCTACCTAGCCTAGCCTACAGCGGTCATCTCAAGCCAAAAGACTCCGCGAACACAAACGTCCAAAGTGGATGTCGTGCTGGGCTGTGCGTTGCAAATGCTCGCTACGCACGACAACATCCCAACAACTAATCGGTCATGCTGGCCGAACAGAGACTGCATCTGTGGGACAGTGAAAGCCGAGGGTGCGATGGGCTCACGCAACGTGACGGATTGTCTTCAAGGGAACCTCCTCCCCCTTTCCCTTTGCAATGCTTGAAGTATTGATGCCATCGTTAGCCCGCACCCGCTCTCACGGCCTGCGGCAAATCTGGGCGGCTGCCCGCCGAACAGCTTCCATGGCAAGGCGCCAGCTGAGCTTTGCAAGCTAAGGCATTGCGTAACTGCGCATCAGCGTCGAGCATCTCTTCGAGCGAAATCCTGTCACGCCGCGAGAGACTTAAGCAGTGGATGATATTTATGCCAGGTCCTGCAGGTACTGTCGCAGGGCTGTGGTGATTTTCCGGGCTTGGAACGGCTGCAAGCAGGCATACGGATCGTCTCCCCCATGTTTACCTACGTGAAGTTGCAGGTGAGGCGCTGAAATCCATCCGTGGAAAGCCTCAACAGCTGTTTTCGACACGCTTCACGCGTCCACCTTCTCCTCAGATGCCACTTCGGCCTTAAAGACAAAACCGGTGCGGGCGTGAGTGATAGCACATGCTTCATGGATGTGGGCACAAGCAGACCGGGTTTGGTGAATTCTGTCAGGAAAAGGTTTGCATTGCTCTGCTATGGCTTTGCAAAGCCGGCCTCCTGCTTTGCAGCGGCCAGAACGGCATCTGGGTCCTGCAGAAGCTGCCTGGCCGAAATGGTTCCAGGATTGACGCGGGTCGTCCCTAGTCGGCCGCTGCCACAAGCCACCGACCCAAGCGTTCAACTTGCCGGGGAGACTGCATGTAGTCGATAAGCTCTCTCTGAGCCTGAGAGGCGAGAACAAGACCGAAGTTTGCGCTCCACTCAGTGCACCACTCGAGCTTCGGCGAGTGCTGAGCCCCAGTTCAATCTGCTAATCTTGACCGCCCTTTCCCATACAGTTACCCCATTGCCATTTCTCCCTGGGCTAGCCCGGGTTTAACTTCAAGCCACGAAATCTCAAGCTTTCCGGTTTTCAAGACGGAAACAGAAGCATACTGTCTTTGCCGCGGAGCTGGTGGCAGCTGCTCGGCCGAAGCCTTCATCTCCTGGAGCCTTAGCCGAGATTCACCGGACATCACCTCCGGTACCTTTTGGCCTTGCGCAGTTTGAGGCCCAAGCATGATCTCGACGTTGATTCCCATCATGGCATAGGTCTCCTCCCGCCGGGGGCGGTCGCGATGGAGGGGGGAGGGGAGCCAAGGCAATCCGATCAACTGCTTGCGCGACTGTTTGGACCCAGCCTTCATCTTCTGCACGTCTTCCCGGGTCCAGCCTGGCACGTCGAGAGACGCACATTTCTGTTCCAAGCTCATGCCCCCAAAACTTCGAAGGAACAACGGTTGGACAAAAACATGGATGCACGACGAGTCCCCGAAACTACATTGGACGAATTGAGACAAGCTGATCGTATCCGACTAGTGTCTCGATCTTTCCTGCTTCTCAGGACTGCGACGTTTGCGCACGTATCTGTCCTTCGCCCGTCAGATTGTAGCATACTCCTTGCATCCTGGGGTCCCTGGATGGTCCGGCTTCTCTGCACACCTTTCAGTGCAACCTCCTTGGAAGTGCAGGTGCCCAGAAACTCGCTAGAAAGGTCTGCTACCTGCTGATTGCTTAGGAGATCTCTGCTGGAACAAGACAAAACCCACAATTTGATGGCCGAGCCAGGCGGGTAAATTTGCTCGAAACTGCTCAGTACATCCTGCCTTGTTCTTGAGAGGCAGCCTGGCAGCGAAGGCTTTCCGCCAAGAGCCAAGCCTAAAGCCTGTAAGAAAGCTGCTGCCTTTTCTGAATTTGAATTTAACTTTACCTCTGCCGTTCGAGGGCGCCTTCAGCTCTTTCAGGAAGAGCTCAGGCCGGTCGGAGAAGGCCGCCAGAGCTGAGCGCGGAGGCGTCTTTTTTTCCACCAATAAAGAAGGCGAACGAAAAGGTCCGAGGGCCCGGAAGAGAATCCCCGAGAGCCCGAAGCTGCAACTCCAAGAGGTTTCGAGGCCCGGGCTCTGCATGAAGTTCGGATCTTGTTGCGCGCCCTCGAAGAGCTTCTGAGCCTCTCAAACAAAACTTCAGGAAAACTTCAGCTACTCCCCAAAATTGCGCCTCACGCTGTCTCTCCTCGAAGAGCTCCATCTCCTGCTTGAAAGGCACAGCACAGGTCGAGCTGTCAGCTTCTCTCCAGGGCTCCACGCCTCTGCGCTCTGTGCGTTCGGCGCTGCGGGTGCCTGGGCCTTCTGCGGCTCAGCGCGGCCTCCGTCGGAGCGAGACAGGAGGCCCAGGCAGCAAAGGCGCGTTCTCAAGTCTCGGACCAACGAGGCCGATGTAAATTTCACCCTCGAGCTCCTCAGCGGCAGTTGCGGCGAGAACTATTGGCCGCTGACGCCGGCCGACTGAGGCTCTTGCGTCCTCGAGCAGCTCAAACTCGCTGCAAGCCTGCGATCTTTCGCTCTCTCTCCCACTCCCACAAATCAGAACGTCTTGCCTGCGCCCACATGAGCTGATCTCCGAGCATGAGCAGGCCGGCACGTGCGAAGGTTTCCTGCGACTTGAGCATAGTTGGCAGGTTTCTGACTGAGTTATCGCAGCTTCGGGACGTCGCAGAATAGGAAAGACTGTGTCGATCGTGGCGTTGGCAAGGCCAGCCAAGCGGTGGAGCCATCTTATTGACTCAGCCACTGAACACCCATCATATCCAAGCGAAGAGAGGCAGGAACTCAAGGGAAAGTGCGAATGCCAATGATCGACCTGTATCCCAGTTGGGCGAAGTCTCTTGCCTGCGAATGAACCTCGAACTCGCAGCTGCGATCTGCGCTCTCCTAAAGAGGCCTCATGAGGCATCCAAAGCGACAAAAGCGCTCCTTCAGCTCGGAGAAAGATGCCAAGGCGAGCTCACCCAAGCCTGGAAGGGCTCTCTCCCATTCCAAAAAAACCGTGTGCTGCAAGAGCCCCCCGTGCCTTCCCGGGCTTCGAGAACTTGGCGAATGTTCAGCGAAAGCCTGCCGGAGTCGCTTGATGTCGGCTCTCTCCATCTACTTGATGCTCTTGACGACCGCACCGAGACTGGTTCCGTGCAACCAGCCTGGCCAGATTCATGCTGCGCGCCGCGGCGCCCTTCTCTTGGACAAGGCCTGGTCTTATGTGACAGTCAATGTGAATTTTCGCATCCTAGGGTTTGATGCTCGAGGCGCTCAGGACGATGGCTTGTGGCGGATGCCTCGAGCTTCCTTCTCCAACTGGTATGCATCCGTCTTCTTGAACTCCTCCCTCGGGCAACAGTCCGTATCCAGAAGGGGTCCCATGGGCTCATACAGCACATGTCACACTTGCCACAGCTTCCCGGCAAAGAACTTTTCAGTCTGACGCGAAATGGGGCGCGCGGTGGAATGCGGAACGAAGAGCTCCAAGCACAACAGCTCACGCGGCCATACCACTGTCTGCATAACCTATGTTTCATGCTTCGACTTAGATCACATACCACCAACAGCGGTAAGACCCCAGCATTTGCTTTCGACGTGTCTCACGGTTCGGGATCATCGACTGCAGTGCAGGAGGCCGTTTGCCAATCAAGACAAAGCCACCGTCCCCATCAATCTTCGCGACGCAAGAGGGCCGAGAAGAGTCCGCACCGCAGCCAGCCTTCACACGGTCACGAGTCATGGGCGTCCTTAGCACAGAAGGGCGCAAATTTAGGAAGCTGTCGCCCGTGTGTCGATGTCTTGGACATCTTGCTAAGTGCCATTTGGTTCAGCTTCTTCAGACTATCTGCTATTCGTTTCGGCTACAATACATCCCGGTGGAGGAAGCTGAGCTGCCAAACAAGTCTTCGCCAGTGCCGAAAAGTTTTGTTCCCATTGCTGAACGGAACGGCCGAATATGATGACATGTGTGTACACGTTGTAATGACTAGCACCAGCCAGACACCTGTCAGTTTTTTTTGTCACGGGCCGCTTAAGGTTCGCACCGTCTCGCTAGCTTGCTATGCAGACCACTGCCTTGTGTCTTTTTCCTTCCTGCCTGGCCCAGCTTCTCTACCTGTCTGACGAGTTCATTCGCGCATATGGGCGTTGATCTAAATTAACATATCCCCGAATTGGGCTTCTTCACGAAAATAAAACTTTCTCTAGCGTAACTTTCGCCCTGACTTTCGCGCGCCCTTCGCGGACACATATTCAAGTATGTATATATATATATATATATTCCAGAGTTCTATGAGGGCTCTGTGCAGGCTCTATAAGACTCTTTCAGGGTTCTAGTATAGGCGTTTTGGTGCGTTTTAGATACTAGGGTTTAGGGTTCAACGTTCGGCGTGTAAGGTGTGGGCCTAGGTTGAGGCATGAAACGTGCCCAAAGTCCATGCTCCCCGCTGTAGTACTAGTGCTAGTGCTACTGTAACTGCTAGTGCTAGTCGCTAGTCGTGGTATGTGCCCAGTAGTAGCCGTAGAAATAGCAATGGGCCGTTTGCCTTGATATGGCAACCTCGACTTTCACACGACTTTCGCTGAACTTTAACGGATCTTTCGCGCTACACGCACTAGCCATACCGCATTTTGGCATCTGCCTGGAGCCTGCTGCGTGATTCGTCTGAAACAGAAATGTCGTGCTAAACAGCCTCAAACCGAAAGTCCAGAAGAGAACGGAGCAACAATGCTTCCAACGAAGGACAAGAAACACAGCACTCTCGAGGAGACGAATACCCTCAAAAGAACAAGATAGTACAAGCGCTAGTACAAATACAAGTAGAAGAAGTATTAGTGCAGTTACTGGTACTCGTACTTATACTGGTAGTAAGTAGCAATGGCTGTTGTAGTGGCAGTAGTAGTAGTAGTAGTAGTAGTAGTAGCAGTAGCAATGGAGGGCAAATAATACTTTTCTTTAGCAGACCCATCGCGGAACTTTCGCGATGGTATATTATGTCCAGTGATCGTATAAATACAGCCACAAGGACCTTTAGATCAATGACCCTATTCACGCTGATGCTCAGATCGAGCAGGGTTCCACAAAACTCTCTGGAAGGAATTTGCCAGACCCGCCAAAGCAACACCTCCTAAGAGGAACCCCAAAGCCCGGATCTTGGCATTGACCACATCCAGTGTTTTTGAGTGCGCCGACCGCTGCCGGAGCTGCGGCTTCATCAGTGCTGGAGCAAGAAGCGCTGCTGGCCACGTGATGAGTTACTGTTTCTCCGAGGGGCAGCTTCCTGGGCTGGAATAGGAAGATGTTGTACAAGGCGTTCCTCCTGTGCAGAAGGGATCGATGAGCAAAGAGCAAGTACGGGGCTCAAAGGGTAATACAGAAGGAAAGGAAGGCACATCTTGTCTTTCCAGCTTGCTTCGAAGTGCAAGGGGAAAGTCAGGCGAGCAATGACGAGAAGCCTGCCTGATCTTCGACATCATCTTGAGGAAGACCTGGTAGCCCTGCAGCGATTGCAGCCGTCAGGAGCAGGCTTTCGAGCCGGCAAGCGGCTTAGGCTTAGTGAAACATCTCAGGACACCTCTGGCTCTGGCGACGCCATGGCCTTCTGCCTGCCTTCAGCACCTTCTGCCTCCACCGAGTTCCTCCTCCTTGGGTGTTGTTTTGGGCTGCTCACCTCGAGCTTGTACTCGGTGAGCGGGTTCTTTTGACCTCAGACAGCGGCGGAGCTCAAGTGCAACTTCGCACCTTCACGCCACACATTCACCGAAGGCCTGATGGTCCTATCCGGTTTCAAACTTCCTGTTGTTTGCCGACTTTCATCAATTCTTCTCTTCCCCCAGGGGCGCAGCCGTAGGCGCGTAATGTCACGCCCGTCCTGGCGCATGCGATGCGAGGCGAACACGCTTTAGCTTCCAGATGCGAGCGAAAAACTAAAAATGGACAGCGGCGGGTGTTCTGCTTCTGCTTGATGATTCGAAGACGCATTTAGGTTTAGAGTGTCGTTTCTCTGGGACTTCGTCAGGGCTCGGCAAGACCGGGCCCTTGACTTCATGAAGTCCATGTTCTTCAGGTGCTGCTGCCAAAATTGGTCCAGCCTGGCTGCCAAGCTGGCATGCGTAACAGTGGCACGCAGTGGTCAATCCGAACTTTCACGCGTCATCTTATGCCCGGAAGGCAATCAATGCAGGAAGGAACCCAAGGCCCCGACTGCATCAGTAGCACCTGTCGTGTGACCATTGCCGTCAATCCTGGCCTCAGCACCAGCCAGGCGAATCAAGGCGAATGCGAGGCAACTTATGGAATCGCTTGCTTACTGAGACCGACCGTATGATAGCCCCCATCAGATGCTTGCACTGCAAAATGCAGCAGCTTTGCACTCTCCCACTTCCGGAATCGTGCGCATTTTGGGGTCAAGCCAGGCTCGCTTCAAACCACTGGAGCTCTGAAGTCGCGGCACAATGACCCCGCGGCTAACAGTGTTGGCGCTTGCCGAAGTCGGAAGTCGTGCTCTAACGACAATCCACTGTGCTTTTTGCTCTCTAGGAGGGTTGCCGCTGTTGGCCATCGCGGTCTTGCCAGTTCGGCCCGTTTGCGCCTCCGAAAGGCAGTCTTGCTCCTGCTGCAATCCTGTGCGTCTTCAATCGTTTGCTTTGGACCGGGTGCACTCTCGGCATAGTGCCCTGCGCATTCTTGCTTGCGCGTTGTGGACCGCTCGCAGATTGCATTTGGATCGGACTTGTAGTGGTGGTCGAGTGGAGCTCCGCTGCTTGTGTCTACGCAGGCAATTTTGCGATCGGAGCACTGCGGAGAATTTCTTGCAAACAAGGTGCGTAAGGATACCTACGTCGGCAAGTTACCAGCTCCAAGCGAACTGAACTTGTACGCTCGGGGCATGGCGATTTCTTCCCAACAAACTGTGACGTCCGCAATTCCATGCCGAAAGCGCCAGTTGGAAAATCACCAAATACAATTTAGTGCAAGGGCAACACAAAAGTGTGTTTCTCCAGAAACGCAGAGTCTTTGCATGTCTTTGCATCTCGGTGATTGAGTTGTAGCCGCAACCCGCTACACTAAATCCTGCCGTTCTATTCACGAGGCTTTTGAACGAGTGCCCACCAAAAAACATGTCCGTGGTCAAAGCCTTTATTCATTCACGCTAACATTGACGCAGCTTCCGCTGAGCCAACTGTCCCTTGCACGATTACACGCGGCCCCTTGAGCCTGCTCTTGGGCGCGCTTCAGGTCCTTAGAGTTTGCTGAGATTCTCTTCCACTATAGCAAGTCCAGAACCCGGTTTAAGGCCTTTGGTACAGGGAACCTGGGTGGGTGTCCAATCAGAGCCTGCTTTGTTTGGGTGGGCTTCCGGTTCAGAATTCGAGTTAAGGCCTTAGGGGTACGGACTTGAGCGGGCTTCCAGTCTGGAATCCATGGCCTTGGTTTGGCGCCCATGTTGCCAAGGACTGTCACACAAATGTAGGAATGGTCCAGGTGGGGGTGTGCCCCTTGCGCGCGTGCGCGCCCGCGCTTGCGGGCCTTCCGCACCCCTTGCGCGCTGAACCCTGTGTAAAACGAAACTGATTTTGGCTGCTTTTGGATCTGTGCTTGAGTAGAAGTAGCAGTAGTAGTAGTAGTAGTAGTAGTAGTAGTAGAAGTAGTAGTAGTAGTTGTTGTTGTTGGAGTAGGAGTAGGAGTAGGAGTAGGAGTAGGAGTAGGAGTAGTAGTAATAGTAGTAGTAGTAGTAGTAGTAGTAGTAGTAGTAGTAGTAGTAGTAGTAGTAGTAGTAGTAGCAGTTAATAGTAGTAGTAGTAGTAGTAGTAGTAGTAGTAATAGTAGTAGGCG